AATCAATGCTACCTACCCTGCTGTTCTTGAGTTTGTGGCCAAGTAAGATATGTTTAAACATCACATTTCTTTTACTAATATAGATAACTGTGAATCCTATTTATAATATCTAAAGTTGATTTCGTTTTCTTTTATTTGTTAAAAAATAGTTTACCACCTGATGTTATTCCACTGACTATCGAAGATTCGAAGGCAAAACAAGTGAATGCAGAACAGAGAAAAAAGGATTACTATGATCGTTTTCCAAGGAAAACCATCTCTGGACTATTTTGTTTTTCTGAGGTATTTGTATTTGATAATATTATTTTTTCTAGCAACTATTAAATTCTCTGTCTATACTACTAATTATCTATTTTTTTGGAATAGACTGGAAAGTGCAACATAATTTGTACCATAATGAATATCGACACAGACTATTCTTGGTATTTCTTTAGTTGCCTCAAGTGTAGCAAAACTGCCTATAAGATTCCAAAGGTTGAAAATGAGATTGTCAAGAAAGGCAAGAAAGAAATGTTTTGGTGTCCAACATGTAAGGAAGACACTCCTAAGGTGATACCAAGGTAAGACTTTGAGATTTGCTAATATATATCTACATTTGTCAGATAATAACTATGTACCTAATCTACTTTCCTGTTCCTTTGATATGTAGGTATCTTTTAAACGTTGGAGTGATGGATAGCACTGGAGACACTAAATGTCTTATCTTTGATAAAAGTGCACAAGATATAATCGGTGTGTCTGCAGAGGATTTGCTGGAAGGGAAGTGGGATGAGGTAAACAAATTTGTTGTTAATATGTATATAGACCATATTATTCAAATATCTTATATACTTATTTCAATCTATCATAACAGATTCAGGATCCTACAAACTTGCCTCAGCCAATCAGAGATTTGGTTGGAAAGACTTTCCAGTTTCTGGTGACTGTTGGAAAGGAAAACATCAATGAAACTGATGATACCTACAAGGTTTCAACCGTTTGGCTGGGTAATGAATCTGACAATCTAAATACTATTGAAGATTCTGACCAGCAGACTGACCAACGTAATGACCTCTCTATTGATCAGGTAATGTTAGTAGGTGCAACCAAAATCAATCTATCAAAAAGTTATTCAAGTTTATCACTAAAGGGCTGGATCGTGTTTCAATTAAATAGTGAGTACAATCAGTTATACTCAAGTCAGGGAATAAATTATGGATACTTATAACTATATAATTTAATGACTTTGTTATATGAAAGATTATCTATTATATATTGACTATCCTGATTTTCTTACTTACAAGAAGGACTTGCTCTGACCAATAGTGGTGAAACCATTGACCCTTTAGGTCCTACATCATCCACTCCTTCATCTAAGCGTAGTATGGATGCAGTTTCTGAGGACATTGAAGGTCAGGGTTCTACTACTAAAAAGGCATGTGTCTCTTCCCTTCTTGGTGACATTGAGAAGGAAGAGATTGAAGGTGGCAAGAATTAAGTTGTGCTGGCTGGGAATAATGTAGGGAGCTTGGCTGTAGCAATTAGTTTTTTATTTTTTTCTTTTGTTCAAGTTTCAAAACTTACTAGGTAAGTTCCCACGCTACGCGCGGGCTTATGTTTAGCTATGATGTTTTACAATATTATCTTTACTTTTTTCATTCATTTTAAGAACTTGTAGATTTTTGAAATTATTTTCATATGAAAGTATGAAACTATTAAATTTTATATTGTATATTTAATATATTTCGTAAAATTCACAAGTCCAAATTATAGATGAAAATAGAGAGTTCTTAAGTTTGTGAAAGTATTAAGAGAATTCAAAATAAACAAAGGTCATCAATGTGAGATATGTGCTTATCATCATTTTGTCAATATTGCCATTCGTCGAAGGATTTGTTTTTTTTTACTTGTGCACTTTAGTTTTAGGTAAATCAACATCACGAGTTTTCTCTTTCACCAAAATAATTTGAACATCATCTATAACCAGAAAGAAGAATAATATTGTTCATGGGTTGTGTTTCTATTAAATCTTCTACTAACTTTGTCTCTAAACCCAAGAACTCAGCTTCATGTATGCAAGCCAATTCATGAAACTATTACTTGCCACATAGAACCTACAATCAATCACTTTTTGAATTTAACTACAACAAATATACACACAATTTTGCATTTTGTATGGATAAGAAGTTGTAAGAACAAAAATGAATGACGTTGTGTGCTACCATTTATTCTATTCATGTTTTCCTTTTTTCTTTGTGCATTTTGCTCAGTTAACTGGTAGAACAATATTAATGTTAGTAAAACAATGTAGATATAAACATTTATAATAACCTTACAAACTCCTTGATAAACTTACCTTTTAACTATTTGGTGCATATAAAGGTAGGTATGAGGTGATGGAGTATAAAAACTGTTTTAGCTTTGAGAATGATGGCTTATGAAGAGTTGATATTTTAAAATGATAGAGGAGAAGTTTAAGGGTCATGATAATATGAAATCTAAGTGGTAAAAGTGTATTGATTAATGGAAGGTAAAACTGAACTTTATATTTTTAAACCCGACCCAGACGTTAAACCGGACTACCTTCTGACTCATAGAGTTATTGGGTAAACCGGATTCGATCACGGGTCAATTGATTCAAATTTTTTTAATGTATTTAATATTTCTAGAGATTATATAATTTTATAAATATAAAAATAAAATTAATCATACTTTGTTTAACAAAATATAAAGTCTAAAAATAATAATAGAGTGATTAAAATTTTAAAATCCAACAAAAACCATTTGAGAAGATCCTAAGAATTAAAAAAAAAGTTCTTAAAATAATTAAATAGTAAATACACTAAAAGACTAAAACTTCATATTTTATTCCAAAAAAACAAATGAATTTTGTTAAACCCATGCTCGGCCGGTTCAGCCAGTTCACCGGATCGCGTGTTAATGGCGGGTTTTTATGGGTTTTTCTAGTTTTAAAATTGGCGGATATTAATACTAAACCCAAACCGGAGAAGTGTCCGGGTCGCACAATAACCGATCGGACCGGGCGGTTCGGGTCGGACGTGAAAACACCGGTTTCAACTTTTAATTCTATTTGGACATGTGTCACTCTCTTAAGTGCTGACGTGTCACTCATATGGAGAGAGTTGGCCAACTTTTATATATATGATTTAGTTTTTTCCTTTAGCTATATGCTATTTAATTCTCAGTTATTTTGAATTCAAGCAATAAACTCTAAGCTTCTCCTTATACTAAACTCTTTGCAAAATATAAACTAACTTATGCTTAAACTAAAGATCACAAAACAGAAAGAGAAAATATACTAACCTGTGCTTTGTACTGATGAATTTTCATATATAAGCCCCATTACTGTAGCTAATACTGCAGATAAAAGAAAACACATATTAGTAACAAACATTGAGAGACTAAGATGAATCTATACTAATCTGACGATATCTATACTATAAATGGCTAACTTAATTAATATGTGAGATATATAAGTACATATATTTTAAAGGGCATATGTGCAAATATTTTAAAGATCTTAAGCTATTAAAATCTATCTCCTATTCTAAATCGTTAACAAATTGGAATAGTATAGCAGTATAGATAAATCAGTTTTAAAAGGGTTCATTGTTGTAGTATAACAACTGTTTTCACGACCAAACTGGCATATTTAACCTATTAATATACAAGATTCTATGCTAAAAATAAGAATCAATCAATTAGATTTTATTATGAATATGGAAAAGAAAATATATTCTGTAATCTTTTCAGTGTAATGCTATCACACTAAATCAGGCTGAGACGATTTCTTTATAATCATTACATAACCATTTTACACCTTCAATCCTAATCTACAGCTACTCGCCTCATTAGCAAAGAAACATCTATAAGGTCAGTCTTTTAATCTCTTTCAACATATAACATGTTCATTGACAAATGACATAATTGGAATTATTTTTCCTCACAAATCTATTTTGTTTTTCAGAATGAAGAGAAGAAAAAATGAAACAGTAAAAGAAAATAACAATGTAATGCAGACACCTAACACAAAGCGTTCTAGGTCTCAGCTACATGATGAAAACATAAATCCAAATCTACAGAACCAACAAGATAGGAGTGATGTTCAAGTAAAAGGGATTTTTAATCGATTGAGATCTGGAAATAGGTAACATACCAGCCCAACAGTGTGATTCTGAAGCCTTACAGACAGTAACTGGTCCTTCTTCTTCTGCAGCCATACAAAAGGAAACACAAGGTATGTAAACATTTATATTCCAACAATATAGCATCTACATATGATGCTAACTTATAAATAACCATAATGTATAGGATTTGCATCTACAGTTACTTATAATACGAGTGTAAGATCAGCCAAAAAAACAGCAAGGACACAGAGAAGACCTTTTCAAGATGTGCAGAACATTATTAATACATCACAGCTTCACAGCGAGGTTCACCAAACTCCACTTAATCCACATAAGCCACCAGAAAAAAAGGGGAAAAAGTGGAGTCCACCATCTGTTAATAGCAAACAAGGTATACATGCCTCTCAATAATATGAAACTATTACATAAAAAGTATTAATAGATCAACACTGATGGAGTAATGTTTATTTCATGAAGCTGCTAAGGGTATTATACTTACCAATTCAAGAATCAATCTGAGGTTCCCAAAGTCTTTGGCAAAGGAGAAGAAAACATCTCACAAGAGTTATGATACAACAATCGAAGAAGACTCTGATGAGATCCTGAATTCAAAGGAAGAAACATATATTAATATGAGTAAGTAAAAATCATTATGATATATTTTCTAAACTTAATAAAGCATCCACTAATCAGGGGAGAAAACTATGATAGGTGATTTGGAGGAAACACGTGAACAGGTTTACGAGTGTAGTAGTCCAGATGAAAATGATTCAGAAACATCTGAAGATTATGAAACCATAGACGATATCCCAATCGAAGTCAAACAAAGATATGAGTTTTTATCAATGTTAGATGAAAGTTTGACCAAAGCTTTTGGAGAAAGAAAAACTCCTAATGTTTCTAGCAGAAAGAACAAAAACATAGGTACTACATCATTGGTTTATTTCTAATTCTTTTCTTACACAAACTTTACTTATGCTAAACTGTCTTTCTGTTATTGTAGAGTATCTAGATCATGGAGATCCTGTCTACTCATGTTCCTACTGCGGTGCTATTATGTGGTATGCCGAACGCATCAACAGACATAAGAAAGTTCGTAAACCAATTTATACTCAATGTTGTCTGCAAGGATCTGTGAAACTGCCTTTCCTCCATAATCAACCAGAACTGTTATTTGCTTTGCTAACCAATGATGATGACATGAGTAGACACTTTAGAGAGAACATCCGAGCATATAACATGATTTTTTCATTTACTTCTCTTGGGGGTAAGTGTGATAATTCTGTTACAGCGGGAAGGGGTCCTAATATGTTTCAGATACAAGGAGAGAATTACCACCAGATGGGAAGTTTGAAACCTGGAGAAGGTGAATTTCCTAAGTTTAGTCAGCTATATATAGTTGACACAGAGAATGAAGTTGAAAACAGAGCAGGAATTTTAAGGTACATTCTCTAACTTAAAACAAGCAATTACAGTATCCAGACTTTGTGTTTTTTTCTGTAAGTATTAGTGTCGTTGCTAACTAAATTAATATTTCAGCAAAGGAAAATCTGCTGGGAAATATAAGAAGAAGCCAGAGTTGAGAAAAGAAATAATTGAGGCGATAATAAAGCTGCTAAATGAAGTTAATCCATACGTTGCTCATTTTAGACAAGCTCGTGATAGGTTTAATACCAATCCTGAACAGAGCTTTCACATGAAAATAGTGAGTGACCGTGTCAAAGATGGAAGAACATATGCAGTGCCAACAGCTTCAGAGGTCGCAGCGCTGATTCCAGGTGATTTTCACATTGGTATGCCAAGTCGTGACATTATTATTGAAGAAAAATCTGGGTATTTACAAAGAATCAGTGAAATAGAACCATGTTATCTTGCTCTACAATACCCTTTGTTGTTTCCAAAGGGTGAAGATGGTTATAGGACAGGTATTCAGAAAGGGAATAACCATGGTAAAAAGAAAAACAAGCCCGAAGGAACTGAGGAGAATGATTGCATAAGTTTGCGTCAATGGTATGCGTATCGTATACAAGAGAGAAAGAATGAACAAAGTATCCTGCTAAGGTCAAAACGGTTGTACCAGCAGTTCTTGGTTGATGCTTATACCACCATTGAAGCTAATAGGCTCAAATATATTAAACTGAATCAGTCAAGTTTACGAGCTACTAACTATGATTCAGTTAAAGAGGCGGCAACAACAGGAAAGACAGATATGAATGAAGAAGGAAAAGCATTTTATCTACCAGCTACTTTTGTTGGTGGGCCAAGATACATGAAGAACATGTACATGGATGCAATGTCTACATGTAATCATTATGGATTTCCTGACCTATTCATTACGCCAAAATGGCCTGAGCTGGTAAGATTCTGTACTGAGAGAAATTGTAATTCCGATGATAGGCCAGAGATCATAAGCAGAATGTTCAAAATGAAGCTGAATTCTCTAATGGATGATTTAACGAAGAAACATATATTGGGGAAGACTGTTTCATGTAAGTGATTTATTTTAATAGTTGCGTTAACAGTCTACAATTTAATTATCTGTTTCTGCTATTTTTTTAAATGTCGTTTAACTAATATTATTATCTCATGTTGTTCTCGCAGCAATGTATACAATTGAGTTCCAGAAAAGAGGTCTTCCTCATGCACATATATTGATATGGATGCATCCAAGTTCTAAGTTTCCAAAACCAGAAGACATTGATAAAATCATTTCTGCGGAAATTCCTGACAAGAATAAAGAACCAGAACTTTATGAGGTCGTAAAAGACATGATGATTCATGGACCATGTGGCGTCGTCAACCAGAATTCACCATGTATGCTTGAAGGGAAATGTTCTAAGTTTTTCCCAAAAAAACTTAGAGAACATACTAAGGTTGATAAAGAAGGTTTCCCTTTGTACAGAAGAAGAAAGACAAAGCTGTTTGTGGAGAAGTGTGGATTTAAGTGTGACAACGGATATGTTATACCCTATAACAAGAAGTTGCTGCTTCGCTACAGAGCTCATATTAATGTTGAGTGGTGTAACCAAACTGGCTCTATCAAGTACTTATTCAAGTATATCACTAAAGGGATGGACAGAGTTTCAGTAGTTGTTGAGCCTAATGAAAAGTCTACAAAGACTACAACTACTACAGAGAAGTCTGATAGTTCAAACAGTGGGGGCACAAGTAAAAATGAAATACAAGACTTCTTTAATTGCAGGTATAAAATCTACTTGGAATTAGGTAAATAGTTTAGATGCTTAACTCATTTCTAACTAATACATGTTTTATGATATTGTATCAGATATGTATCAGCATGTGAAGCTGGATGGAGAATCTTGAAAAATCCTATACATTATAGGTCAACGTCTGTTCAAAGATTATCCTTCCATCTACCAGGCAAACAACTATTATATTTTAAAGGTGATGATGAGGTGAAAACAGTTTTGAAAAAATCAGAATTACAGAATTCGATGTTTCTTGCTTGGTTTGAATTGAACAAGCGGTGTCCTAAAGCCAAAGATCTCACATATACTCAGATTCCGGAATATTATACTTGGGATGGTAAAACAAGAACTTTCAATATGAGGAAGCGACCAGGGAAAACAATCGGAAGGATTAATTATGTCCCACTTATTTATGAGGAAGGTTATTATTTAAGAGTGCTTCTAAATCATCAAACTGGACCTGAAAGTTTCGAAGACATCAAAACAGTGAATGGCGTGGTGTACAAATCGTTCAAGGAGGCATGTTATGCTCTGGGTTTGCTAGACGATGACCAGGAGTATATTGATACAATAAAGACAACCAGTTTTTGGGCTACTGGAAACTACTTGCGTTGTATGTTTGTTGTAATGCTCCAGTCTACCAGCTTATCTCAACCAGAAGTTGTTTGGGAAAAAACATGGGAACTTCTATCAGAAGACATCGAAAGAAAAAGGAGAGAGTACTTTAAAAGACCAGGTAATTTTTGATCAAATAATTTAGTCTCTTTGGTTGGTTTAAAGAGTTGTTACTTTGCAATTTTAAGTAGTTTTTGTCATGATTATTCTGTCTTACAAATAACACTGTTTTTTTACATATTTTTGGGACACAGAACTAACACTTACGGACGAGCAAAAACAGATGTTGGCTTTAAAAGAAATCAACAGCATCTTACGAAGCAATGGAACATCTCTAACAGCTTTCAGAACAATGCCACAGTTACCTGATGAGGAAATTGATGATAGTAATGTCTTGATACTTGATGAAAAAAGCTACGATCGCAATGAACAGAAGGAAAAACTTGAAGAATCGTTGCAGAAAATGACAGATGAGCAGAAGAGTGTTTATTTAGAGATCATCGATGCTGTTGATAATGACAAGGGAGGTGTCTTCTTTGTCTATGGCTTTGGTGGAACTGGTAAAACTTTTATATATACGACACTCTCAGCTTCTGTAAGATCTAGAGGTTCTATTGTGCTAAATGTTGCTTCCAGCGGCATTGCTTCTCTATTGTTACCTGGTGGGAGAACAGCGCACTCTAGGTTTGGTATTCCAATAAATCCAGACGACTTCACTGTATGTAATATTGAGAAAGGTTCAAATCAGGCAGAATTAATAGAAGAAGCGTCTTTGATAATTTGGGATGAAGCTCCAATGATGAGTAAGCATTGTTTTGAATCTATGGATAGGAGTTTCAAAGACATTATTAAAGGTG